ACGACACACGCACAGAAATGAAGGCTGGAAGATGAATAGGCCTTCTAGGGAGTTGATCTTTACAGATCAGATAAAGATTCTTCAGGTCTCTTTTCTTGCAGTCTGTGCTACATCAAAGGCTGTCTTTCAGAGATAGTAGTGTGCACTTGCAACCTGGGGACAAGACCTTCAAAAATGGACAGTTTTCAGATTGACAGGCAGCTGGGCTTTGGATTTTTTAGTTGTTGCTTTTCTTGTCCTTTCTTTTTCCTTTTTTTTTTTTTTGGTGTGTGTGTAATCTTTTGTAATCCCTTTAAAAGTTAAAGAAAAGTTCATAGGCTGATGGACTAAATAACGCTTGCATCTTATCTATCTTTGCCAATAGCTGTTTTGCTTTAAAGGTAACCATTCTCTCTGAAAGATTTAATGAAATCTAGTAGAAGGTAACTCTTGACTTCTTTCAAAGTTTGATTAAAAATACTTATTTGTGGGCAGTGGCTGGCTGTCCTTCAAGGGATAATTGTTCTTTTATTGATGAGCTATATATTCTGAAAATTCCAGAAAATAATGCACCCTGCACAATATTTAGAAGATAGCAAGGGAGAGAGCAGTTCTCATTCATTAAAAAAAGTTAAAATAAAGAAAAAAAAGAGGTAGAAATAATTGTTTCATCTAGAAACATTTATTAAACAAATGCTTGTTTAATCACAGTGTTTTCAAACACCCTAAATTTGACATCAGCTACTGTGTCAATCGCACTGGCTAAATCTGGCATCAGCCTGTTTTATCTCTCACTGAGCAGCACCGTCTCACAGCTGTTAGGCATCCTCCAAAAGCATAGGAATAGATGCTACAGCATTTTGCAGCCTTCTCTTCCTGGTCATGGTTTCTCAATTTATGTACTACTTCAGAGCAATTTGAGTTTCACTGCCATAATCTGAGAATCCTTGCTCTCCGGCAGACTGAACAAAGTAGGTTTTTTTTAAATACCTTGAAGTAAGCCAGAACGTTTCTGTTACATGTTAGTTTTGTTCCGTTTCCCCTTTTAAGTGGTGTTTGGTTTTTCATCCGCTCTATCTAAAAAGTTGATGTTAAATAGAGCTTCATTCAAGGCCTGAAAACATCTCACAGTTTTGATCTTCACAGCACATAGGGAGGCATGGAGTAAGAAATGATTAAAACCTAACATGCAGAAATAGCGTTTTGCATGTTTGTTTTAGAACCATTTCTGCTTATTTTCTTACATATAACAATATGAATCTAAACATTTTAGTATTTGCTAGAGAAATCTGTAGGGAACTGCAGTGGCTCATGGTATTAAAGAAGGTGTTACCTTATTAAACCCTCATTGTAAAGAGAGGGAAAATGGGAAGTGTCAGGTGTCAGCCTGCTGTTATGTTACTCCTCTGTTGGCGTTCTCCAGAGACTCTTCCATCAAAACAGGGAAGGCAAGACCTGACATTTGCATACCTCAGAAGGAAGCAGGCATGATTTCTTTGAGAGAGATGAAAAATTAGTCTCTCCTTGTGTCACAATAAAGGGCATAGGTAACTCAAGTTTGCTTCACAATCTAGCTATTTTTGACCCAGGAGTCTTGACATCTTACCCTGGCTCTCAGCAAAGTTCTCTCTGTGGAAGGGTGAATGTCTCAGTTATTAGACTCCATGTGGCTGTAGCAGCAAGGTTCTTCTTGCATAGAAATTACAAACTTCTGAGAACACCTTAGCTTTGTTATTTATTTATTCATTTATTTATGTATTTATTTTTAATTTAATACTCTTCCCTTATGTTTCATAAAAATATAAGGTGTTACACAGGAGAGAATGATACTGGGTTTTGCATCCACAGAATTCCTATCAGTCAACCCATATATTTTAAAGCACCCACTTCTTGAAAATTAAGTCCTTGAATGTTCTATGTCCTTGTGATAGCCTGCACATAAACATTGATAAAGAGTCTTCTGCTGGAGGTGAGCTGGGTAATCAGAGTACTGTAGTAGACAGGTCTTTGGGAAATGATCCCGTATATTTTTGCATATATAACTTACATAGCTGTAGAATCACAGGATTGTTCTGTTGCGGTAATAGAAGATGAAAATACAATATGTATCCCCATTTTGAGAGATCAAATGATTTATTCTTGTGACCACTCAACTCACAGGTTTATTCTAGTCCTGGTTAACAGCCACTATACTGAATACCAATAATTTGTGTGACGTTTATAGGAATTGTTGATGGAAAAGATGATCAGGGAAAACAATACTGGGTTGATATGAAGTTGGCTAGGCTTTAATTTTATCTCTGACATAGGATGCTAGGAAATACATTCTAAATATACATTCCAGCTAAGCTTTCGGATATAATTTGGAAAATTCTTCTAATAACTAGCGCAAATAATAAATTTATTGTTCTGCAGTAGAGCAAAATGCAGGCATTCTTCAGTTAAGCAGTGAAGAGGACATCAAAAAGGTGTCTCAGCCTGTTGCTACAGTTATTGTGCATAGGCCTGGCTCATGGTCATGTGTACTTCCAGTAAGGTGTTGGGTTTTGGTTTGTTGGAGTCAAGGAACAGCCATTTTCTCATTGTTCAGTATTGTTTCTCTGTAACCAGTTGTTTGTGCTTTTGTATGAGCTTGATTACCTTTAACAGAGCTCTGTACACATACCCCAAATGACAACTTCTCATTTCGGAAGCTATTTTAAGGTATGAAGACCTGTAGAAGTTGCATGTAGTGTTATTTTAGCAGGTTACTTAGACAGTTAGGAGAGGTTCTAACTTAAATTCTTCAAGGAGAATAAGAATACAGTACCTCTTTGGTGAGGGATATTCTTTTTTTTTCTCCATTTGAGACCAAAAAAACCCCAACACAACAAAAAACAAAGCTAATTTTTTTTATTAGCTTTTAGCATTTTTGCTTTATACTGCAGATTAGCTGAGGAATCTACCAACTTTTCATGGAGCTGAGGTATTTCAAACGTGGCTACAGTTCTTTCCATGCAAACATTCCTAGTAATGTTAATGCTCAATATATATTTCTCTTCATAATCCATCTATCAGTTTGTGCATTTGGGTTCTACTGTCTTTTGTGGAAAACAATTGCAGTTCTCTGGGCACCTTAAGGCAATGAAGCAGAGTGTGAGGGAAATCTGAGGGCCGTGTTAACTGCAGCTATTTACATGTGTAGTAAGTGTCATATCTTGCTTTGCTACAGTCTGGTGAAACATGACTTAGTTGGCTTGAACTCATCAGAGGATATGCAAATTCAGATGCAGAACTGGCTATATTGAATGAAGAAATTAGATGGACAAAATTGTTCTGGTATATTACCAGAAAACCGAGAATACTGTTAGGTATCTGAGGTGTTTGTCCAGTGCGGTCAAAGGAGAGTTGTACTGTGTTTTTTCCCAGTGTAATGTATCAACTTATATCATAGTTTTTCTTTTGTAAATGTGGCGCTTAGCTACTCTGCGTGAGTACAAGATGCTAGTAGCTTTCTGTTAGCTAAGAATCATTTGAATTGACAATAAAACAAATGAGTGGGGGCACTTATTTTCTGGCAGCAGAGCACACAGGTTCATTGGAGTTTTTTTGTGTATAGACAGTGATAGCAAATGTAAAAGAAAGGAAAAGATCCTAAGTTTTGCTTTGTGAAATTTATCATCCTGATAGTTGTTAGAGGGGGGAGAGGGACTGCCCTCAAGGGACCCGATAACAGCAGTTGCTCTCCTGGGGGGGGCTGCGGTGAGGTTCTGACAGCACCGTCTCTGCCGTTCCAGCTTACACAGACTTTCTGGTCATACTCCTTTTTGGTTGTTAGCAAGAACTGACAGTTGACTCAACTGTCAATGTGACTTAGACCACCAGTTCATTTTGTGTAGGAATTGGTCTGAATATTAAAAGGATCATCAGGCTTGAAAGCGTTTTCATCCCTAGTTACGTGCTGGATATAGCCAGGCTATTTCTGTTAGAAAGGGACCACGATTCCCCAGAAACAACAGTTGCTAAAATTTTTATTGGGCTATCAAATAATTTAGTTCTCAAAGTAAGCCACTCAACAATTGGGACATGGCTGAGTCCACATGAACTACGTTTACATCAGGTAGCTGCTTCTTCAGAGTGAGCTTGGGTGCTTTCAGGATGGGTGCTTGCCTCCGGGGCGGCCGGCGCTGGGGATGCTGTGTGCAGCTCAGCTGAAGAACACGCATTACGCTTGGCAACTTTTACACGCAAAATTGTAGTAAGAGCTTCTCATAAGAGCGTACAAACAGCTTTTTTTCAAAGGCTTAAAATTTTCTGAGGAAGGACGTGTCACCAAGCCAATGGATGTGTCTGTACAAGAGGTAGATTTGGAAGAGCATGGGCTGATCGTTCGGTGCACTGTGCTTTGCTTCCCATGGGGCGAAGTGGACAAACTAGATTTCTTTCAAATTAATTTAAAATGGGAAAAATGCCCTCTAGGAGCACGCCTGTTACTCTCCAACTACTAATGTGTATTCAATCCATGGGACCAGACTACAGCTAGTCTAAATTACTGAGTTTTTATGGGTCCCTAATAATCACAGGGGATGTCAGTACTTCCTATAATTGAAGCTAAATAATTTAATGGAGAAATAAATGTCCATAATACAGTGTTTTAAGATTCTAATAAATACTTGTCATTGGATGGTAGATTAAATTAATACATTCAAGGCAAGGTGCTCTGTGTAAGGAGGAGGTATTTTCAGAAGGATATTGATGGATTTTGAACTTAACTAGAACTTCTTAAATGACATTGGAACGAGGGTTAAATTTTCTAGTGCATGACTATAGTACTTCAATAAGCAAATAATACAGAAAATAGCATTTTTGAAATGAGATGGTGCATCTTTATACATAATTTTCAAGGAAGTGCGAAAAAGCATAGATATATAGAAAATTATATAGAGAAAACACATATATGAAGAAATTAAAAAAGAAAGACTTAGCTATGTGAAGAATCAGTAAAGACTAAAATGTATGTCCTCTTTCTCTTTGGTCTTCAGCGCCTCGCTAAAGAAGCAGAGAAGTACCAAGCATCACATCAGTGGAGGGATGAGTTTGGGGTAAGTTTCAGTTTTTCTCCTTTTAACCTTCTCAGATTCTTCCTCTTTGAAACGTTAACTATATTCTTACAAACGTGTTGTTTATATATCCACCACAGAAGGACTCATTGACTATGAATGGGCATTTTATTTTATTCAGTAGACAGAGTCTCAGTCTGGGTGTCTAGAGAATAAAGTGACTTTTCACTTCAGAAGCTCATAGGGAGTTTTGCAGACCCAGGGATGTAGCTCTGAGGTGTACACAAGACATGTTTGTTTTGACATACGAGGAAAGATTACAGACAAGACATCTGAGTGGTGGTTACTATCAGTTAAAGGTGTGCTACTTCAAGCACTGAAATACAGAATCATAGAAAAGATTTTTACAAGTTGTTTTTTGCTTACATCATGGAAAAAAGCAGGAAAAAGCTTAATACAGAACGATTTGGTTATCTACATGACTGTCATGGGAGTCATAGACTATTTTTTTAGAATCCCTTTCCATACTTTAACAAATGCTTCTCTTCTCTTCAATATTCTAGTATTCCTGAAAGAGGCCCTAACCTGGTCAAACAGTGAACTATCTTCTTCAATCATTTCAGACTTTACTGAAAAACAAGTGAGATGATCGTAAAATGTACAACATCAATTCTTTATTACCGATCAAGCCAAATTAATATTGTGCTGCATGATTATAAGCCTGTTAATTTTAGGCTACTGTTCCCTGCTAAGTGTCAAAGTCATTTATTATGCCCTCATTACCTGTTCCTTCAGAAATAAAAGCAGGTGGTGCTTTTACGTGATGCTGCTACAAACCTAGACTGTGTTTGCACATCCACTAGAATCATAGTGGCACACAGTTAAATGCACAATGGTTTTCTATAATGTCCTTTCTGATCCAGTGTTCCTCAGACACTTGGAGATGTGAAAACAGACAAAAAAAACCTCCCTAAGGTCAGGCCAAATAATTCAGATAAGATTGACTGTCTTTTAGGAATGCAGAGAGGTTCTGGACACAGCCTGAATGCTTTTTAAGTGTGCTCTCTGCACAGGCACAGCTTCTAATACACAGTAGAACACAGAACGCGTATTCCATAGGGATGCAGTAGTGAGATGCTACAGCGACCTTTTCTGCTAATCTGTCTCTGTTTTGAATAGAAAACCGAACCTGCAGGTTTGATGGACTCAGTGCAGAACAGTGTGAATACAGTCAGATGCTCTTTCTAATCATTTTGTTTCTTACTGTTTCGTACACACTGGCATCACATCAACAACACCGTCTCAGCTTTTGGTTTTCTTTTTGCCCTTTACTTGCAGTAGAAGTCAGTCATACCAGAGAGGCTTCTAGTCGTATCAGAATTCGTTGCCAAGGAGAGATCGCAAAGTAATTTTGAAATATGATTTTATATTAATGTTGTGGCTCACGCAAAGAATGGTCAGAATAAAAGAAAAAAAATGCAGTTGGATTTATAATAAAGTAACTGTAAACCAAGCTTGTGCTTTATTGTTTTGAATTTGGATGAGAGCAGTGTGCACCATGTAATAACCTTGACATTAGGTTATGCAATTAAATTTCAAATAAATGTATTAAGCCTCTTATAATTTAATTTGTTCCATTTTTGCCAGAAGTAATCTTTCTTCTCTTCTGGCCTACTTTTTAGAAAATGCCTGCTCAAATTAGTTTGCACACAGATCTTTCTGATAAGCTTAATTTTCACTGGAAGATTCATTCTCCTAATGGCTGTGGTGGAAAATGGAAGATACACTGTAAAACTTTCTGTGGATGATAGTTCTTAAAGTACTTCTGATAGCATTATGAATGGTCTACATCATGCTGTATGAGGTTTATTTCTTGTCCAGGATTTGGTTCTGAGTGATGAAAGCCCTTCCAGCAGCAGCATTGCACATGAGTCACTGTAAAAGGAAACTCTTTGGGACAATCTATTTCTGCTTCTAATTAGCTCATGATCATCAATGTCCTTGACAGTCAGACTGCAGCTGAATAATAGCCTATGGAGTTTTAAGGAGAAAATATCACAAACATTCCTTCTGGGAAAGTATATATGGGCTGACTTCAGTGGAACAATTCCAAAAGAGGAAGGGCAAAGAGGGCTGGCCATAATACCAAGGTCTATACAGAGCTACAAGGGATGTGTCAATCAAAAGACTGCCAGAGTGCCTATTCTAACAACTTGTTCAAAATTTGATTGTTTATTGCACAGTTAGCAGCAAAAGAAGTGTGGAAGCATTAAAGATTTTTAAAGATTTTATTTGCAGGTTAATGTCACAGGATAATAAAAATTCAGCATGCTCAGATATGGTCTTTGGAAATTAGCTAGTACAGGAAAAAAAATCTTTGAAGAACCAGATTTGGTCCCACAGCCTCATTTTTGTTATTTCAGCTAATAATTTCATGTAAAGACTGTCAGAACTGTCTAAAGGAGAAAATTTTCTTGCCTTTTAGGAAAAAAGTTGGGGCTAAACCATTGAGAGATACACAAATAAATCCACATCTACTAAAATCCCTTTTCCCTACTATTTGTAATTGAATGAGAGTAAAATTTCTTCCAATCTTTCTAGTACTATAGTGTATTAAATTCTAGCTACTTCAAGAAGACCAAGCAAAGAAAAACAAAAGTGAAAATTTAAGTTTTGGCTTTTTGATAAATCATAGAATCATAGAATGGTTTGGGTTGGAAGGGACCTTAAAGTTCATCTAGTTCCAACCCCCCTGCCATGGTCAGGGACACCTTCCACTAGACCAGGTTGCTCAAAGCCCCATCCAACCTGGCCTTGAACACTCCCAGGGATGGGGCATCCACTAATTCCCTGGGCAACCTGTGCCAGTGTCTCATCGCCCTCACAGTAAAGAATTTCTTCCTAATGCCTAATCTAAATCTACCCTCTTTCAGTTTAAAACCATTACCCCTTGTCCTATCACTACATGCTCTTGTAAAGAGTCCCTCCCTACCTTTCCTGTAGGCCCCCTTTAAGTACTGGAAGGCCACTATAAGGTCTCCCCGGAGCCTTCTCTTCTCCAGGCTGAACAACCCCAACTCTCTCAGCCTGTCTTCATAAAGGAGGTTCTCCAGCCCCCTGATCATCTTTGTAGGCCCTCTTCTGGACCCGCTTGAGCAGGTCCATGTCTTTCTTATGTTGGGGACCCCAGAGCTGAACACAGTACTGCAGGTGGGGTCTCATGAGAGTGGAGTAGAGGGGGACAATCACGTCCCTCGACCTGCTGGCCACACTTGATGCAGCCCAGGATGCGACTGGCTTTCTGGGTTGCAAGCACACACTGCTGGCTGATATACAGTTTTTCATCCACCAATACCCCCAAGTCCTTCTCTGCAGGGCTGCTCTCAATCTACTGATCGCCCAGCCTGTATCTATATTTGGGATTGCCCCGATCTGTGTGCAGGACCTTGCACTTGGTCTTGTTGAACTTCATGAGGTTCGCATGGGCCCACCTCTCAAGCCTGTCCAGGTCCCTCTGGATGGCATCCCTTCCCTCTAGAGTATCAACAGCACCACTCAGCTTGGTGTAATCGGCAAACCTGCTGAGGGCGCACTCAATTCCACTGTCCATGTCACTGACAAAGATATTATACAGTGCTGGTGCCAATACTGACCCCTGAGGAACACCACTCATCACTGCTCTCCACCTGGACATAGAACCATTGACCACATCTCTTTGAGTGTGACCATCCAGCCAATTCCTTATCCACTGAGTGGTCCACTTGTCAAATCCACCTCTCTTCATTTTAGAGACAAGGATGTTGTGTGGGACAGTATCAAATGCTTTGCAAAGTCCAGGTAGATGATGTCAGTCACTCTTCCCTTCTCCACCGATGCTATAAACCCTTTGTGGAAGGCTACCAATTTTGCCAGGCACAATTTACCCTTAGTAAAGCCGTGTTGGTTGTCTTGAATCACCTCCCTGTCCTCCATGTGCCATAGCATAATTTCCAGGAGGAGCTGCTCCATGATCTTGCCAGGATCAATAGTTAAAGGAATCTCTACCAAAGTTTAAGAATTTTAAAATTTTATTTTGGTTTTATCTGAAATAATCTGTTCATGTTTGCCAAAGCCAAAAATAACCATGAACACAGAAATCTCAGGTTGGTATTAAATTGAATCTGGAAGGCGTGACCCAGCCACTCACTGAACAGCGAATATCTGGTGTTAGCTAAAGTGTTTTCATATTCCTATCCTGCTGTCACCTTGCACAGCTTTCTAAATGCACAGATTTACACTGCGGGCTATATATATTCTTTTTATTAATAAATGAACACTTGTCAGGTGTATATTGATTGTCTCAAGAGCAAAAATAAAAATCTAAACCGAGTTAAGAACATGTATCTTCTTACATATTTACCATTAGTTTTTAGCTAAGTGACAGAAATAAAGATCATAATGGATTTTGGTATTTTGCATTGATAATTAAATATCAAAATAATTTTAGCAATTAATTCATTAATATTGGATTGTAACGTGTTGTTTCCTGATTAAGCACGAAGTCAATTAAAATATCTGAACTGCGGTTTACATCTACAGCCCTAAAATAATACTTACCTGTTAGAAAACTGTTAAGTCTTTAGAGAGTATTTGTGAAGTTCACGAAGGCAAATCCAAAGTGCTTAGCTTCAGGCAAATAAATGCCATTCTCTGCTTCCTACTCCATTGGTATTGCCCAATTCCCTAGCTGCATGTACAGCTGGAGAAATAAAACCTACTTAAATGTTTTTAGATTAATGCAGTTACAAATCAGAGGTACAAACCAATATTTCTAAATGAAACAGCCTTGTCAGTTTGAATTTTCTTGTATGCTGCAGAGTGAAGGGTGGGGAGGGTTGACACTTGTGATGATCCAATTATTTTTCTGGCATAGAGATGCATGAAAAAAATTGTACGTGAATTGGAAGAAGGAGGGGAGAATTCTGTATTAAATAATTGCTGTTATTCCCCAAATGGATCTTCTACAATTACATTTGATACCACATTTGATTGCCTTGCAATGG